CAGCGAAAGTGATTGAGGGGGTGATCTCACATCTCGCTGAATCTCAGACGGTTTCGCAAAGCGACCGTGCAGTATAAGTCGTCCCAAGCAGGACATAAAGTCAACAGTTGGACAATCACGGCTAAGTAGTCATATGCAGATCTTGAAATTCTAACGCCGTGGATACGTTATCTGCAATCCGTTTTGCATCAGTGACCACAACCGCAGCACGATTGGTGCGCACTGTGATCCTATCCCTTGGTCTAAAAGTAACCAAGCTGGCTTGATGTCTAGTAGCAGTAAACATACTCCACTGCGAGGAAACACGCATTCGCACACTGTGTACACAGTAATATACCTCCCTTTCACTGTCATAATCCTGTTACGGTATCATCATTGTGACAACACCACGGTTGAATACCGAAGCAGCCAACACAGCAAAAACACTGTCGAAATTCTGTGACGGAACTCAGGAACAAAAAATATTTGCTTTCGAAGTGAGTCACATGATAAGACCACCCGTGAGACCATGCTGCACCGGACTGAAAAGTGCGAGTAACAACAGGAGACGTGGGTTGAGGCCCTGAAAAATGTAAACTTGGTCATGCTGGGGTCTTCACAACGCACATCCGGATAGGTGAGAAGTAAGTGTGAACGATGAACAGGGACGTTTTGTTTTGTTTCTGTTTCATCTTCGTTAGCCTAGTCGCTTCAGTCCTCGTGTATTCCCAAGAGTTTTATCACAGTTAACCATTGAAGAAACGTCACAACTAGATAGGTATTTTCGTTTTTGATTAGTGACGTTTCGAATACCTCGGAGTGACAGTCAATTGGTCCGAATTCAAATGGCTGATGAAAAAAGAACTGACAATGGGAAAATCTCTTCGCACGCAGCGTCTCACTGTAGGCTCAAGGAGTAACGTGAATCATGCATCGTTAAGTGAACGAGCAACGTGATAATTGACTTCCAAATCCGTACCACAATAGGAGAAAATTTATCCGGTTTTTCAAGACGCTATATTCGACAGCATGATCTTGGACATGCCACCAAATGCCACAGGCCAGATAAACTACCCAAGTGAATCAAATAAATTCTGCTTTGTAATGTCCTTGCGCACTGTTAGGTAATTAGCAACGATGTTTCGAACGCTCCGACGATGAATGTAACAGGCCCCCTTGAGCCCTGAAAACGATGGCGAGGTCAGAAACGACGAGACAATAAGAATCAAACAGTAACACCGAGTGTCAGGTAGGTTGCCTTACCGACAATACACCGGAATATCGGCAATATGGATGCCTTTATTGGTTGCTGATGAATCTCGAGGAGGCTCAGTAGTCAAGGGGCAAAAATACAGACCGGAAAGTGCATGGTTAAAGCCCAACATGGATTATCAATTGCTCCTTTCTAAACTTGAGCAACTTGACAGCGTTTCATTAGGATTGAACAGCAGTTGGTACTGAGAAGGCGTTCCAAACGAACGACCATTACTTTTATTTTTCTGTAAAAAAAATCATTCAGCTGTAGCACCCTTTTGGTGCTTAACTACGATGCCACCCAAAGGACGCACGAGGGCTGGGATACTGCCAGGCTTCCCAAGCCTACACAGGGGAAGTCAACAGGCAGAGGTCGGGTTCGAACCACGAACCTTCCGGGCAGTAAATTCGCGCTCTAACTACTGGGCAATCTCGCCCCCTTATGTACTCGCTTATGTCTCTTTGCGTAGTGGTGAAACGTTTCTAAGCTACTTTTAATCTCGGTCAACAGATCAACAGTCATCTGATTAAAAGCCGGGCTTACCTTAGTTTACCTTGTTTCCTCAAGCTAAGCCACCCTCACATTGCCAAGTAGGCAGGACCTTTGAGTAAACTGCCTTTAACGACGGTGGGTGTTTTGCATTGCGGACTGTCGAACAAAACGCCAAGGCTGGAGTGCCCAGAGGTAAATACTCTGGACGACCGCCGTACTTCAGCCTCAGTCACAACTTCTATACACTACTCAACACGGTATTTTCACGCCAGTTTGAGTACTACCTAACAGCTGCCTACACTGCAGCGCAGCATCTGACCCAAATTGCAGTGGTACTTCTTACTCAACTAGGCAACAGACATCTTTTTGAAGATGTTCTATCGCTGTATGTTTTACACCAGAAACTCCCATACGCGACCCCAACTCAATTGGTATAATTTCGGAGAGTGAAACCGCGAAGGTGGGTTACCTCCTGCCAGAATCAACTACTAAGTTCGACCAGTAATAAGCTGGAAGGGTTCTATTAGCAGAACAACGTGAAGGGTGAAAACGAGCCAGAGGCGGTCAAACGATGACTTGGCAGCGAAGGACAGGCCATTACTATCAAACTCGGTTGCGCTGATCATTGGGGTCTTCCTGGATGTGGATCCCGAGACGGTCCACATCAATGGTTCGAGACATTGTCAGACATGGCCAAGTCGCGCCCTCAATGACGCACGTGCATCCAAGCTTTGGCTTTCAATGCATAGCTCTCTTCCCGATCCCCTTACTTCGAGCCAGAGGCGGTCAAACGATGACTTGGCAGCGAAGGACAGGCCATTACTATCAAACTCGGTTGCGCTGATCATTGGGGTCTTCCTGGATGTGGATCCCGAGACGGTCCACATCAATGGTTCGAGACATTGTCAGACATGGCCAAGTCGCGCCCTCAATTGACGCACGTCATCCAAGCTTTGGCTTTCAATGCATAGCTCTCTTCCTGATCCCCTTACTTAACAGTTCATCCAGTGACAGTGTTGTATTTACACACAAATTTATCAGCTCCCGTCCCCAATATGCAGCTACCTACCCCACCTCCTCAAATCATCGGTGAACGAACCTGTAGCAGCTAAAACCACTGTACGACAAGTACGGGGTTCTTACAGCTGATGATGGCCTCTTCACTCTGATCACGCCAGTAGTGGCGCAAACCCCAATTAGCTTTTTTTCACGTGGACAAACTTCTGGGTGAAGAAAATTATTCAGCATGATGACCGTGCTCACAGTCTTTACGACCATCTCTAGGGGCTCTCCGAAACCTCTGAATGAACATTAAATATCGTCGCAAACAGAAACCCTTATAAAAACTGGAAGAAGGAAACCAGCATCTGATGAACATGGTGGTGTATGGATGTCATTCAAACGTAAAAAACAGTTCAAAATACTACGGTGGCACCGATGAATTTCGGAAGCCTGAAAACTAGACGGTTATGCAGCAAGTACCACACCGCTTCAACCTGCAGGCTCAATCAATAGTCGATAGTTTGCTCAAAAGAACGTCATCATGAGGAAAGGATTGAACAGCTAAAATATTCAGAGGTACGGCGAACTGAAACGCCGCAGATACCATGTTTCCGTCGCAAGCGAAAATATAGTGTACATAAGATGTTAAAGCCAAATAAATCGTATTCTGAACTATTCATAGGTGAAAATATGACAATTATCTTCACTGTGGACTACAAGAAACCGGAATACGCACCAGCAAATTTAGCACATTCCTACGGACAAAGCAGCATAGCTGATTTCACGGATAGAGAAAAACGGGATCTATGTCCAGCTGGATAAACAAACTCAGTTTTTACCCCATACTTCTTTTCGGCACAAAATCCCAGGTTCACTTGAGGAGGGCGACAAAAGTGGTGTGATACACGGGACCAGAAACCCGACTGTCTGGAAACCACTCAGTACAGAAAAGGATAAACAACTCAGTTTTTACCCCATACTTCTTTTCGGCACAAAATCCCAGGTTCACTTGAGGAGGGCGACAAAAGTGGTGTGATACACGGGACCAGAAACCCGACTGTCTGGAAACCACTCAGTACAGAAAAAGATGGTTAGGAAGAACGGACTCAACTGCCCGATAGTCTTTCTTCCTTGGCAAGACCTCATTTTCCTCCTTGAAACGAGTAGGCTGAAAAGATCTTCAAATGTCGCTTCAGTACTCTGAGAGTGGAAACAATCGTAGCCTTGCCGTCGCGATTTAGCCCACAATAAGGTCAGAAATTCAATGTTGGAGACTTACGATCAACTAATAACGCACCATCAGGAAAAAAACTGAACAGAAGGACTGAAGACTTCAGCTCATAACTCAGTCGCCTCTCAGAAACAAGGAAACCACAATCCTCACGTTGTATGCCCCTAGCCAATGTGAATAAAGCTGGTGGGTAATTGAAAACTTCACTGTCAAAGGTGAGGGCCAGTGTTGGATTGCTTAGTCTGCAGGTGGTCATAAAACAAAACTGGCAAGCAATCGAACAAGAAATCTTGATTATGGACCCACGCACACATTTGAACGGGCCTCAAACCAACGACCTCCCACTTACCAAGCGAAGGTTCTGTCAGCTACTATTAGCTGGGACGCTCCTCAATATCAAGCATGCAGTTTGGCTCACATTGGTTCGCCACAAATCTGCAAAACGGACTACCCCTTTGGTTCTGGTCAGTGGAAATAAAGAGCAAGTGACTTCTACAATTGAACATGGACTGGATGACGCTGTGAACAGACGTTGCTATCGACCACGCGTCACGGCATCAGCTATCCGGGATAGTCTCGGAGCCACTCATTCTTCTGTAGGAGTAAGCTGCCATAAAAGTTGTAGCCTGGCGCTCAGATCACATTACGTATACATGAAGCACGTGAGAATCTTTGCTACGCAAAAGTTCTCCGCTGTCTTCGGTGGGTGACGCCGCTGACGAAACCTCAAAACGGGCATCGAGGGAAATCGATATAACATCAGGTTTTGTTTTCATTAATCGTCATCGGCTGCAAACCACGCAAAGCTGTACAGAGGTTCTAGCTGTTCTAGGTTTGTGCAACGACAAAGGGGGGGGGGGAACAGGAGTCGATAGCGGTGCAGCGTACGCAGTAGCTGATATCGATGACTGGTGAATCCAAAAGCTTTCAATGGGTTGTTTATTCGTGGAATGCACAGGAAGGAATGTTGTCCGTTGATGGCAGCAGTTTTGACGCATGCGCGAGACTGAGCAGACGACCTGGTTATGTTCGCCAGGGTACTTAACCATGGATAGGTTCCACCCATTCGGGGACCAGTGCAGCCATCTGCTGACAGTGGCTTCCATATTTCGCCGCCAAACACAGTTTGACCTCGTCTGGCTGGTTTCCAAACTCCTCATGGTGATAAAGAGAAGTAATAATGGTCTTTCAGCTGTAACACGATTTCAGCGCTTAGTTGCCATACCGCCCGAAGGAAGCATGAGGTTTGAGATACTGCCAGGTGGCCCCAGCCTAAACAGGAACAGTCGATATGCTGGGGTCGGATTCGAACTACGGATCTTGTCAGTAAATTTGCACCTTAACCACTGAGCTATCTCGAGCTCATGGTTGTACGAGGAATTTAAACCACTGGCATGGTACAACCTATTGAGTGCAATTGAATCTTCTCCTGTGTGCGAGTTGCTTCCCCCGAAAACTATCCGGTATTCCCCAACTTTACTGATCTGATGCTTCCATCAGAGGCGGACAATGCTTCGAAGACAATGATGGTGAAGAACAGTGCCCCGGTTCCTGACTTAACACCATAAATTGCGTTGTAACAATGAATTCTCGACAGTTAACGGAAAGGGTGACATCAAGCCTAAGCCATAGAAGCTGCGGATTTGCAAAAATCACTCCGGCAGTTTCTATCTTGATAGCAAAATCGTTCTTGCTCCTACTAGCGGCAGTCATGCAACTACTGAGGTAACCAAATGTTTACCACCCCAACTGGCTCATTTGCATGCGTGAGTTTCGAGCTTGAGTCAACCTAGTCACATGATACCAACCTGCGCGTCACAGGTCTGAAGCGTATATCAGCCCGTGAGGCAAGCTCAGCAGGGTTATTTATTATTGTTCACATAAGAATGCAACTACAGCCTGGAAGGATTCTGTCAGTTGCATACACGAGGCCTGTGAGTGAACGCCCAGGAAAACTACAAACCTACCAGCTTTAGGGGCTGTGAATGAGTCATCCATGCTCGTGCTGATGACGAATTCGGACGGAAAATGGAGGACAGCAGCCTTGTGTGACACCACCAGTCGCGATGAACCCAAGTGAAAGCTCACAAGAAACCTCAAGAACAAACCAGGAATTGGAGGAGAAAGCGGTAAAGGTCGAAAATTTAAGGCGGTCATCCTCGCACCACCGTCCCTAGGAGTCCAGTCCGATATTCCCTGTCCATCTTTCGAATCGGCGTTTTCGCTAGTGAAGCGTCTTTTTCACTCATTACTTCGCTAGGAGCTGTCTTCCTTTGGCAGGTCGATCGAATTACATGAGATTACGCACGGTTGTTTCCCGTAGCGAAAGTTTTCTCTATCTCCCAAGCTTACACTATCTACCAGAGCTCGCCATCATTACCTACACCCATTTGCTATCTCAGGTCCGCTTGCACCATAGTACTTTTGTTCGCTGGTACGGATCAGGATTAGTGAACTAACTAATATCCTCTACCGTTCCAATTCAATCGGAAAGTCGGACAAACCACTTTGAATGGCATATATATGGCTCTTTTCCAGATGGTCATACGTTAACCATATGACCGTTACTTCGCTATAGACAGTATTTGAGTTGGTTCGGATCGATACTGCTGAACTAGAATAGTGCTTCGAAGATGCTGAATTGATATACCTATTGTCGACTTGCGGTGGCATGAGGAAAATCGAATAACAAAGCGTGATCGCACTAATGGGTGATCAGAATCAAGTTGTAGCATGGCAGAAGCACCAGTCTGGAATTGTAGCACTTCACCGGTAGCTGACGACCATTAAAGCGATAGTACGATTAATATGCATTTGGTTACCAGGTTAGACGATGCGAACGTTTGCGTTGAAAATTTGTGCTACTAACAAAAAACTGATTGTCAATGAGAAACTGGAGCTGCTCTCCGTTATCTGTGCGGCAACCATTGACAGGAATATGCGTCCAAAGGAGCAACGACCGACCTGGGAATTCACATCACCCGCAAGGATGACTTCGTTAGCGCTTCTTTGATTAGGCAGTCCGGAAAAACCTCGATAGAAAGTATCTTCCTCGACGTAGGAACTGCAGTCCGTCAGGGAATCGGCTGACACTACACATAAGCGCCGGTCGCTTATCCGGGTGACATTGAGTTGAATGAGCAGATGGCGTAAAGATAGTGGTCCACACGAACCGAGCGCAAACTGGAAAAATGCAATGCCACATATACTACGTGCCACTGATTCAGGATCACCGGGTAACTAGAAAGTAAAATGAGGGGGAGCGGGCTTCGTCGTGGGTGCTTCAGTAGAGTTCCGTATGTGTGCTTTGAAGATGCGGCATGCATCAAATATAAAAGAGTACACGGTTGGAACGGGAGTTTTGTTCACTACTGAGAAATAGAGCAAGAAGTGTGAAGCTAATATGCTGCACATATTGAGACGTTATTCTGGTTGATTTTAATGGACAGGTACTTCGAGCTGGCAGTCAAATGACCCGGCGATGTTTGTTTGCAGGGTAAGAAGGAATTCAGGAAGGATACACGCAAGCCTAAAACGAGAAAGAAATTTACTTAAGGTAGCCCACCGTGAGCGAGTGACAAATAGTTCCGTCCACGAAACAGTGAGTGGGTTTGATTGGGAGACCCTGATCGAAGCCGATGACTCCATTGTCAGACCCGGTTCGATTAAACGGGCTAGTCCAGCCTGTGTGTGCAGGATATAAGTCATAGATGTGCCTATTCACGTATCGCTGGATTCGGAGGTGAAGTAATGCCGGCGTTAGGTTGATTACGTTGCGTCTGCCTTGCAATACGTATTATTCTTTGAGGATATCTTCCAGAATAGTAGCTTCCACAGAGTTGAGAGAGGAACACGCCATAATCTTGCGTGCAGAGCAGAAAAGACCGACTTGACAGTTTTTGGTTTGTCTAGGGATGATCGTAGCTTCTCCCAACCTGCTTTGGACATCTTCAGCCACCCATGTTGTGTGAATCAAGTGGGAAACCTAGTCTCTTATTTTTTATCTGACCAGTTGAAAACTTTGGAGAACAACCCTTCCCATTCACCAGGTTTTCTACTTGGCAGTCGTCACCGACTCTGTGAGTTGAGCAGTTTTTGGACTAAGGCATCAGATAACAGGTTACAGACTTGACTGTTTTGCTGTCGGTCTGGCTGTCCTGAATGCATGACAGATACTGCCTCGGAAATTTGTAAAAATAATAAGTTCTTTGTATCCTCGGACTTCTGGACGTGTGAGTACACGGGGAGCTCACCAAAATGTTCCATACACAAAGCGGTGTCCGTCAGGGGTGACCACTCTCCCTGCTCCGATTTTACTTCGTGACCGATGAGATGATGAGACGAACGCTGGAAGGTATTCACAACTTCAGTGTTCAAATAGCCTCTGACGAAAACCTTGTGGATCTGGAATACACAGACGATATCGTTGTCTTCGAAGAAGAGAAGGCGCAGATGTCTTTGGATGAATTGACCAAGGTTAACTTGTCCTTTAGTATGTACTTCGCACCTACAAAGTGTGAGGTCATGCTCGTGGACCTACAGTCACTGAACATGCCAATTACGATCTAGAGAGAGACCCTCGAATTTGTGAAGCGCTTTACGTATCTTGAAAGTGGTATTACTCCTGATTGTAGTGTGACAGATGAGGTCAATGTACGAACCTGCAAGGCTTGGGTCGCGTTTGCTAATCTGAGGCACCTATGGCGTCAAAGCGGTATGTCCTTGAATCTCAACAGACCTGTGTATCAGGCTACAGTGCGGGCTGTTTTGTTTGGCTGTGAAATAGAGAGGTGGCCAACCATTGGCCTGGAAGGGGGTATCAAAGATAGTAGTAGAAATATTTGGGTGCTGTCGGTGCTACTTGCCCACAAGGATGAGGGCCGCGCGATTCCCACTACCCCTGGTTGGAAATACTGTCAGACATGGCTGCTGAGCGATGTCAGTGGCAATCTATAATCTGTTTTCGATTGTATTAGATAATTTTCCGAGGGTCAAGGATGCAGGGTGAATGATAGAAGTGTGCGGACTTTAAGGACTGTCGTTCCTAACAAATAATAAGTAATAGTTCAGTTATAACACTCTTCCGGGGCTTAGCTACTACGCTCCCCCACCCCCCCCCAAAAAAAAAAGAAGCGCGAGGACTGAGACTGTTAGGTTGCCCAAGTCCAGACAGGAACAGCCGAGATAAAGAGACTAGGTTGAAGTCAGCGAGTTCGCGTCTAAACAACAGAACCATCTGGAGCTCAGTCTCTTGTAATCCATGCTTCTCTGCTAATGACGATTACTTGGCTCGCTGCTTTTTGCCTGCCTGTGGACAACTGATAATGATCTGAGGAAGTGGGAAGCGATCATCGTTCTTGCGAGTATACGGTGGATGGTTGGGGACTCATCAATCGTACCGCCAGTGAGTTCGCTGAAAGATCAATTGTGTTTCATGGTATGCAATGAGTGGCTGCCAGGACGTTCAGTGTTGGGAATTTTCGCTCTTTCTGTTAATGACGTAATCAAGGACCAGCTAGATGCCGCATTACTTTACATCATCAGAACTCCAACAGAAAATGCTTTACAATAATAAGATGCATCACAGAGAAGAGTTGGAAATCATCCGGAACAAAACAGAAATGAAGGCTCAGTGGTGAAATTGCGAATTTACTGACCGGAAGGTCCGTGATTCTAACCCAAACTCTGCATCTCGACTGCTTTGTCTAGACAACCTGGCGATATCTCAGACTTCGTGCTAAATTGCGAACTGACCGGAAGGTCCGTGATTCTAACCCAAACTCTGCATCTCGACTGCTTTGTCTAGACAACCTGGCGATATCTCAGACTTCGTGCTCCCTTCGGGTGGCATGGCAGCCAGGCATCGAAAGAACGTTACAGCTGAATCTGACTCCCCCGATGACGCAGCAACATGCGTAGGATAATGCCACAGGACAACTTGGAAGCCATAGCAGCAAAGCTGATAGCCGGGTAGCTTTGGCACGTTACTGTACCCCTTCTGAATATGGGAATCACTGTCTGGGCGCTCCATTCTGTTGGGATGTTTTCCCCACTCCAGATATTTTAAAATATATTCACTATGTTAGCCAAGACAGCCTCGCCTACTTCTTCGAAAAATGCAGTGCGAAAACTTTCTGGACCCGGTGCTTTGTCAAGCTGA